ATTCGATTCGTGCAGCTTCTCATTTTCGTTCTGCAGACAGCGACAGGTGATCTTCAGGTTGACCATCTCCTTGGCCATTGACTCGACGTCGGTGGTGGTGGCAGTAGAGGTAGAAGCAACGGGACCGGTTCCATCCGCTGTCGACCTTGAAGCTCTGCTCTTCTCCTGCTGCGACGCGTCAAAGGAGGCCTTCTCCGAGTTGAAGATGCGCAGCTGCTCTTGCAGAATCTTGATCACCTCGCGGTTGGTCTGACAAAAAAGGGGAATAAAAAAGGTTAGCACAGTTTGTAGACAGCCACAACAAAACAACAGTACGGTACCTTCATCTCATCTTCAAAGGCGTACCGATCGTGGTTCAGCGTAATCAGCTGCTCCTCGAGCTTTTTGCAGCGACCACAGAACCGGTCACCGCCTCCGTCGCTCATTGTGGTGTTGGCTGAAACGGGCGAAAATGAGCTAGAAGTGGAGTACTCTGCAGAAGAAGCCTGTGACACTGAATGAGAGGGGCGGATTCGATTGACGATTCCGCCAAAGAGCTTTGGCCGAGTTGAGTTCTGCTGCTGCTGATGATGATGACCAGTGATCATGGCAGCGTTCGAGTCCGTTTTGGCACCGCCGAAGCTTTTTGAATTACCTAGGGGAGCTCCTATTGTCTCCGAGTTGGGCAGACTGTAGGCGCGATCACCGGCTCGCAGTTTGTTGATGTTTTGTCTTGAGTGTGGTTGTTGCTGATGTTGCTGTACGGCTGCAGAAGCGTCAGTGCTGCCACCGTTGTCACCACCACCGACTGTTGTGTCAACTGAAGAAGAAGGAGAAGAAGAAGAAGGTGTATCACAGATGTAGAAAGTTGATGTAGAGGAGTTGTTATCTGTTATCGAGGGTGGTGATCAGTAGTGGTTAGATTTGTGTGCCGGTGATTAGCCGTCGCTGCGGCAGAGAGCAGTGAAGCGAAATAAAGCGAGAGTGCGAGATAGGATTGAGTGAGCGCCGTCGGTTGCAGTTATCTTTACCTAAATTGTTTTGGAGAACTTTGGATGACTTTGGTGAGGAAGTAGATTCGGTTGCCAGCGTTGACGGCGTGGTCGTCGTCTGGTGACTAAGGTCAAACTGAAGGGGCTTCTCGATGAGCTGATTATTGTTGGTCTCATTGTCGAGGCCGAGATCTGCAAAGTAGAAGAAGATGAGTATGGTTCTAAAATTAAAAAAATTTCACTTACACTTATTGCAGAGGTGCTGGCGGAAGATTTGAAGATTCTTCACCCAGTGAAAGCCGTCGCCGGCGTTGTTCGCCTCCAACGTCAGCCGCTTCGTCCCGGTCACTATCTCAAAGACAAATGCCGAGGAGAGGGAGAGCGTGTACGGCGGCAAGTGTGACGAGTGACTATTGCTTTGGCTTTGGTTATGATTCGGATTATTATGACTGAGGTGACTGGACTTGATCACAAAGGAGGCGCTGCGAATGTCAATCTCGCCGATGGGAAAGAGGTCCTCGCGGGTGCGGTAGTAGTAGAGCTTGCCGGTGACGGGCGAAAAGACAAACCAGCGCTTCTTGCGAAAACTACCGCTGAGTTGGCCGACGACATTTCCCACCAAGGAGGAAGAAGAGGAGGGATTTGAAGATGAGGATGAGGAGGAGGAGTTGTGCTTCAGGAGATAGCCCTGAAGGGTGGGCAGGGTGGTCAGCGAACGGGCAAGCGTCTCGGCGGTGAGCGGAAACTGCGTCGTCCGAGGACTGCTAGGGCTGAGGCTGCTGCTGCCGAGGATGTGGTTGCTGTTTCCGTTCGGTGAAGTACATCGTTGACCTTGTGGTGGTGCTGTGGGGGCTGTGTTCTTTGGGGACTCACCGGTGGACATTATTTTCTTGTAATGAAGGTAGCAGAAAACTGGAGTGGATTTGCTGTGTGTGTGTGAAGGCGAAAGTAGAAATCGAGTAGTTGAAGTCAGTGTGCTTTGGCAGTCGCATCGAGCTGGAGCTTGGCAGCTTCTGTGCCTTCTTTCTTCTTCTCTCTATCGGTGTTGTTTGTACAACTCCCAACAAACAGACAACAGCTGAGTGCATATCTTGCAATTGCAGCAGTGGTGGTGGTGGCAAAGTACTTCGAAGTGAAAGAGAGACTGTTTGTGTGCGGAGAACGAGATTGTCGTGATTGTGTTGGTAGTGTCAGTCACTGTTACTGTTGCTCGAGGGGAGGACACCACCGACGCCGACGACGACGTCGAAGCCGTCAAATCTATCGGTGCTGATTTGGCGGCAGCAACGGCAAAGGATCCTCAAAGAAGCAATAGCAGCAGCTGCTGTCAGTCGAGGATGGGGAGAGTGTAGAGAGTGCAACACTAACACCACCAAAATGAGAGACACTGTTGCCGATTGTCCTTTGATGGTGGTGGTGGTGGTGGTGCTGCCTGAAGCGGCTGCAGAAGAAGAAGAAGCAGAAGAGGAACAGAACAGAAGAGGAACACAACACAACACCAACGCCGACGCCACGGCACCTGACAGCGACGGCAGCTGCAGCTGCTGCAGACGAAAGAGCACTACATGGCGCCCAGTAAATGATTGAATGTCTTCTTCAGAGTAGTAGTCTTTACACTAGATATTCAAACTCTTTACTTCCAAAAAAGTATCCAAGTTGGCAGAAGAAGAAGACGAAGTCTGTTTTGGTGTTCCACCACCAGCAGCGGATTCTTCCACCAGTGGGCTCCCCCTCTATTTACCTCTCTTTCCGACCGCCCCCGCCCTTCCTCCAGCACGCTATCAGGTGCTCTGTGAATGGCCCCAATCGAGAGCCTTGCCGCCCTGGCGCCCGACCTGAAGGGGCGAAAAGACTCTTTTCAAAAGAGTATCCCTCTCGTTTTCAGTGGATCCCCTCTCTTTGCCAGCGCGTCACAACAGACACAGACGCCAATTACCAGGATACAGTGAAAGCGCCAACTGGGCGCCTATCGCTTTTCGCGCTCTCTCAGTCAGTTACACTCTTCTCGTTAATTGCTCGCGTTCTAAAGTGGTCGCCGCCGACGCTGCCGTTTCGTAAGTTGTTTCGCGGGAACTCTCTCTCCTCTTCTAAATTACTCTTCTCCATCCTCGACTGGTAATCATCGACTGCAGCTGCAGCTGCAAAGTGAAAGCTGATTGCTCCTCAAGTGTGTTCAAGTGAAAGTGCGTTGAGGTGATTGATCTTCCAAGAGAGGGGGAGAAAGAAGAAGAAGAAGAAAACAGTTTGTACGAGTTTGTCGAAGCAGACAGGGCGTTTTCACCACTGTCTAGACTACGACAAAGTGTGACTCACTTGAAGACAGCTCACCATTGATGATAATGATGTCTTCATCGTTTCTGTTGGCGACCAAATACGGCCAATAAATGCCACCACCACCACCACTGCTGTCGGCGGTCAAGAGAGATTGTAATCTCCTTTGAGAGACTTTATAAAGAGGTCTACAAAACATAACCGTACAGTACAGTGGCAGCAGTCTTTGGGGGAGGGGCAACAGAAGGCGTAACAGTGGAAGAAGAAGAAGAAAAAGTTTTCTTCAATGACAGGAGGGTGATGAGGAGGAAGTGGAGGAGGAGGTGAGGAATGCGTGCAGCAGCCATCCGAGGAGGAAGGCAATAAAGACGGCCAGCAGCGTGGAGAGGGCCGGGACGGGCGGAAAGTGGCGCTTCTTCAGCAGCCGCAGCAGGCGCTTCATCTTGTTGACGCTGTAGGGCGGGTAGCGACGACTTCCCAGCGTCTCCAGCACTGAATTGAAGCCACGAACGAGGACTGTACAAAGAACATTATCAGAGATGATAAGATTTAATAAATCCTTCTACTCACCAGCCTTATCATGGGAGAAGGTGTCCACCGAGTACCGGCCATGGTAGGCGCCCATGCCGCTCTGGCCGACGCCCCCAAAGGGCAGCGAGTCGAGGCTGCAGTGGAGGACCACATCATTGACGCACAACGCTCCACTGCTCGTCTCGCGGATAAATCGCTCTACCAGCGACTCCTTCCCCGAACCAGCGCCCTTATCAGCCGCCTCACAGAAAAGGTACAGCGCGAGCGGCTTAGGGCGGCGGTTAATAAAACGAAGCGCCTCCTCCGCGTCGGCCACCGTGATGACGGGAAAGATGGGGCCAAAGATCTCCTCGGCCATCAGCGGATCGCTGTCCGCGTCGACGTCTACCAGGATCGTCGGTGCAATGTACAGCTCCTCAGGGTCGGTGATTCCTCCGTAGACGGCCTTGCCAGTGGTGCCCTCCAGCAGGCGGCTGAGCCGGGCAAAGTGGTGGCGGTTGACGATGCGCCCAAAGTCAGGCGTCGCCTTCGGGTCCGGCCCAAAGAACTCCTCAATGACGGCGACCATGTGCTGGAGGAGGGCGGGCCGCGTGGCCGCACTGCAGAGGACGTAGTCGGGGGCAATGCAGGTCTGCCCTGCGTTCAACATCTTTCCCCAGATGATGCGGCGACAGGCGATGCGCAGAGCGGACTTTGGGAGGCTCGCGTCGACGTACAGCGGACTCTTCCCGCCCAGCTCCAGCGTCGTCGGCGTCAGTGTCCTCGCGGCGGCCTGGTGCACCGAACGGCCGATCCGATCTGACCCAGTGAAGAAGATGTAGTCAAACTTGTGCTGAAGGAGGCGCTGCGAGAGGTGGGCGTCGCCGACGACCACCTGGTAGCACTTGGCGTCGAGGTAGCGCGGCAGGAGGGCGCAGATGAGGCGCGAGCTGGCCGGGGCAAGTTCCGAGGGCTTGATGATGGCGACGTTGCCTGACAAAAGAAGGTTAGACAGTTAAAAGTGAAACCGCTCCCATTTGGAACTTACCGGCGGCAATGGCGCCCACCAGCGGCCCGAGCACGATTTGAATGGGGTAGTTCCATGCCCCGATAATCAAAACCAGTCCGTAGGGTTCCTTCCAGACAAAGGCGTCATCAAAGAGCGTCGGAATGGACTTGCTCACCGCCTTCCGACTGACCACCTGCTCAATGTTCTGCAGTGTGCCGCGGATCTCGTTGAGGACAAAATCCACCTCGACCATTATGGTCTCGAACCATGGCTTGCGGAGGTCCGCCTTTAGGGCGTCCACGATAAGGGCCTGGTTGTCCGCTAGAAAATCGTATAGCTTGCGAAGCTGCTCCTTCCGGTACGACACCGGACGCGTGCGGCCGGAGGAGAATTGGGCTCGCAGTTGGGCGGTCAGCTCGCTGAAGTCTTCGTCGCTTGATGCTGATGCTGCGGTGGTGGTGGTCGTCGTCGTGGACGAGGTGACAACGCTGTTGGTCGCCATGGTTGCGATGGTTTACAGTGCTGTGCTGATTGAAGTCCACAGAGGGTTTTACTGATAATGGTAACGTAAGAATATGAACAGCTTCAGTTTCTAGTGAACTTCGCTGTTGATAGTGGAGCCATCCGCGTACCGTACCGTTCCAGTCAGGTAAGGTAAGGTAAGGCAACTTCAGTGTGTCAGTCAGTCCGTGGTGAATTGGTTGAGTGACCGAGGAGATGAAGACGTAGCACTGCTGCTGCTGCCGCTGATTTGTGCAGTGTATGTCCGCGGTTGAAAGGCGGCTTCAGAGGGCGACGATCTCCCGAGAAGAAGAAGTCACTCACTCACTTGAGAGAGTGTACAGTGCTAGTGCCACACACATCGCGTCCAGCGGAAAGAGAGAGTCAAAAGGCCGACCGAAGACGACGACGACCTGTGAACTGAAAGCTGAAGCAGCGGTAATCAACTGGCCTACTTTGTAGCTAAAAATAATGCGAAAAGAGAGCGCGAGAAGTGGCTGCTGCCAGGCCGTGCAAACAGTTCACCACCACCACCACCACCAGCAATGGCTTCGTGAGCACTTGGTCAACAACACAAGACAACACAAACACGTTTCCCCGTTCAGTGGACAACGACAAAGACAGACGATGATGATGATGATGATGACGGGACTTCAAAAGAGAGAAAGAGAAGACGGGAACATGAACAGCAGCAGCATTAGAGAGGACCGGTCTTGTCCTCACAGCTGTTGTTGTTGGGCAGCATCAGCAGCACAGACAGGCAACAGTGTGTCTGCCTGCTGACTTCTGCATCCCCTGTAGATAAAATCAGCGGCATATCCGATGGAAGGAGAAGATGTGCACTGGTCGGCCAAGATTTGTGTGCCACCGCCACTGATGCACATCGGCGATTTAGTAGCTGTCCTCACCACTTTGGCGAAGCGTTCTTTTAGTGATGGTAACGGTTTTCGACATCCATCACTTCCACTTTCCGCAAACTACTCTCTTTTTTCTCTCCGCGCTTCAGTGATTACCGTGCAGCAAACTGGTCTGGAGAAGAAGAAGAAGAAGAGGAAGAAGGGAAAGGCGGAAAGAGAGGAACGGGAACTCGTTTTCGTTGGTTGGCCGTTTTTCGGTGAGAAGTAAAAATGTGGTGGTCACAGTGGTGGTTCGATGAGTTGAAGCGACAGGCAGCTTTTACCCATGACTAAAAGATGGCGACTGAGTGGTCGTGGTGGAAAAAGTACTCTTTGCATGTTGGCCTTCTTTTTCTCTCTGCCCGAGCTTCGAATGCTTCTGAAGCGACTGCTGCTGCTGAATTTTCGATGAGTTATATTGAAGGGAAGATCTGGCAATCTGCTTCCACTGAATTCCAAGAACTGTTTGTCAGTGTTGTGCATGTTTCTTCTCCCGGGAGCAGAAAAGCGAGCAGAGCAGAGATGAACTGAGCTTCATTAACCCTCTACCCTTTCCATTCCTTCTTTCCTCCCCTCACCAGTTTGCACTTGTTTGCTGCTCTTTTTATCTTCCCCTTGAAATGGAATACATGTTGTTCTTTTCTTCTTGTTCTTTTTGGTGCTACCGTCAAATACACAGGCAACTCGGGAGCAGGAAATTGGCAACCACGATCATTCCTGCGCGGGCACCATTTTACACTATCCATTTTCTTTTTCTTCTTCAGCAGCGTTTTCTGAGCCATTCTCCCAATTCTCCCAGCAATCTAATGCCCACAGCTTTTCGGAGAACAGTCTTTCGGTGGTTCTGCCTCTCTTTTCCTGTGCTCTTATTCTTCCTTTGTCTTTTATTTGGCCATTCTCTTCGCCGTTCCATTCACTGCTTTTAGGAAGTGAGCGGTGGTGGTGGTGGTGGTGGTGATGGTTGCGAACCAGCAAAAGCAGGACACCGAGGAGGAAAACGAGGCTGCAGGAACCCAAAAAGCACTTTCCACTGCTTTTTGTTTTCGGCCCAGTTTCTCCGGCTCTTTTCTAGGTGCAGAACTGCTCCACCACCACCACCAAAGGTGAGTATGAGAGTGAGTGAGTGAGAGAGAGTGAAAGTGCTAGTGAGTGTGCCACGGTGTGTGTGTATCGGCCATCTAAACGGGAACGATATAAATGAGAGAGAATGAGAGAGAAAATAAGAGAGGGACTGGAAGAGTCTGTGTGTGTGAGTGTAAACGAGGCAAGTGATATATGATTCGCTGGTTAGCGGTACTCGCTGCTGCTGAATGGGAAGGCAAATGGTAGGTACGAGGTAGTCCAGAATGGGCACGATTGCTCGCTCTCACCAAACCGAATTAAGTCGTCAACAAGCGGGAAAACGGGAGTGAGGAGAGAATGGCGAAGTGTACAACAGCGGCAGAAGCAAGGGCAGAGATACCAACACACACACACAATGCACAGCAACATTGACCGACATTTACTCGGTGCAGGAGCGTTCTAGTTTAGGTAGAAATCGAAGAAGAAAAGTGCGGTGGGCAACCACCACTTTGGCGGCATTCGATGGGAAGCCTGTGGTGGTGGCGACGGTGGTGGTGAAATCAGCCTTTCAGAGCCACCGGTTCTAGAGGAGCAGCAAATCCCGGGCAAAAAAGAGGCTGGGACAATTCCCCGAACGAGTGGTGAATGAGTGCTGTTGAAAAATCTGCTGCTGCCGATCCGGATCAAATGAAACTGACGTGCCTTTCACATTTCTCAGCGCTTGTGTGTGTCAGTGGAAGAAGAATACTTACCGGCGTGACAGCAGAGTTGTACTGTGCTCTGGAACGTTACGATCTGGCGGCAGCTCAGAATCGATCGTGATTGGCAGGCTGATGGTGCTGGTGATGGTCACAAGATTCCACAGCGCTGAAATGGGACACGCAAAGAAAAGAAAAGGAAGAGGAGGAGTACATTGAGCAGCAAAGACGAATGATCTTCAGACGTGGGTACTCTCGCCCTTTCTCCGGTTTCCAGAAGACGTGGTCTTGTACGAGAGAGAGAGAGAGAGAGAGA